ACCCCACCTGCTCACTGCTCTGCACCGTGCTCACCGACAGATTTAAACATTCTTTTTTTTTTTTTTTTCTTTCCTTTTTGTCTTTTTTACTGACCGGCAACTGGATCGCAACCCTTGGTGTCGCGCCCGTACCAGGGACCGGCAACGGGATCGCAACCCTTGGTGTTGCACCCACGCCACGCTCAGCCAGTGAGCAGGAACCGGTCTCCACATGGGATCCGAACCCTCGGCGGGAGCGCCGCCACGCTCCCAAGCGGCGCACTCTCCAGGGCGCCACCGGACCGGCCCCAGATTTGAACATTCTAATGGGCTTTTTAGCTGACGGATATTTGAAAACATGGAAAACAGCCCGTCAGCCCACAGCCCCTGGCACTGGCTGCCTTGTGCNGACCGGCAACGGGATCGCAACCCTTGGTGTCGCGCCTGTACCAGGGACCGGCAACGGGATCGCAACCCTTGGTGTTGCGCCCACGCCACGCTCAGCCAGTGAGCAGGAACCGGTCTCCACATGGGATCCGAACCCTCGGCGGGAGCGCCGCCACGCTCCCAAGTGGCGCACTCTCCAGGGCACCACCGGACCGGCCCCAGATTTGAACATTCTAATGGGCTTTTTAGCTGACGGATATTTGAAAACATGGAAAACAGCCCGTCAGCCCACAGCCCCTGGCACTGGCTGCCTTGTGCAGATGACTCTTGAGAGGTACTGGAATGACCTAGAAGCAACTTGCCACCCCCACCGTGTCCCCCACCTGTGCTGAGGACTCTGGGCTGTGCCTGGCCCCAGACCCACCCTCTTGTCCTGAGCGAGGGGAAAACCCTCCTGAGGGGTGAGGGCCCGGGCATCTTGTCCTCACCGGCACAGGTGGAGGACGGCAGGGACATCAGGAAGGCAATTTCCTAATCCGATTGGGGCCCTCTGGGCTGAGTCAGTGGCCTCCCAGAAGTCAGGCTGGTGCCAATCCTGCAGCACGGCCGGGGGCAGACAGGATGTGGCTGCTGAGGGGCTTTCATTCTGCCAAGTTCATGGTCAGACAGCAGCCTCTGTGGCTCCAGCAATCAGGAGGGAAATGATTCTGACTCCCACCTCCAGGGCTGCCTGCTGCACGGCAGAGGAGGGAGGGCAATGCCTCCTGCAGGGAGGCTGCAGGCTGACCCCACCCCAGATGAGGAGAATGGTCTGGAGACAGGATGGTGTGTTCCTGACTGGGCCAAGCCCCTGGCTGGCTTCAGGGTCCCCCCACTATGTTGCTCCCTATGCCAAGTCCCTGCCAGTCAACGCAGCCCCTTGGACGCTGCTGGACACTGTCCGCAGTGCTGAATGCCCTCAGCTCCCTGGGGCTCTGGCATTCTCTTGACTGACACTGGTAACTGGTCCAGCCTCTCCCAGAAATTCCAAACCACAGGGACCAGGGTGGAGGAGAAAGGGGATAAGAAGAGGAGAGAGAAATGGACAGAGGCTGCTGGGGAGCTTCAGTCCATCACCAAGGATTCGAGGCCTTCGCACTAGATGTTCTCAAATGTTGGCAGTTCCCCACAGGAAGCATCTCCTCTGCGAAGCTCGTGGTTGCACTCAATGGAGACTTGTTCAGCCTGTCTCTTTCCCACTTGTCGAATGGCCCCATGATGCAGGAAGAGAGCACGGCTATGGGTGAGGCTCCTGGGCTCCTAGCTGGGCCTGGGTTTCTTCACCTAGAACATGAGTATAACGAGAGTTCCTAGCTCACGGATTTAGCTGAGTATCCATGGGTGGTACGTGTGGAGCTGAGCAGGGGTCTGGGACAGCGAGCTGGAGAGTGATACCAGCGAGAAAGTGGCAGTTAGAGGGATTCAAAGTTATTTTTTATATCGAGCCAAAATCTACAAATTAGAGCTATCTCGTGGGATGGACTGGCAGTAATGGGCTGAGTACTGGCCAGAAGCAGCCACCATCCATCTCATCCCCTCCCATGGTGACCTTCCAGACATCACAGTGACCCGCACACTCCCTCAAGTAAGCACCCTGTCCTCTCTCCATCCTCCATGCATCAGGAAAGTGGGCAGTTTCTGCAGGTGGGAGGGTCTGGAGCTCATGGTTTCTTGTCCTGGAGGTGCTTGCCGGGCTTCTCCTAAGGCTGTGTCTGCAGTCACAGTTTGTCACAGAGCACCGTGTGGCTCACTGCTGATCTGTCTTATTCCTGAGGCTCTTGTCCTCTTGTCTAGAGCCATGCTGAGCACATGCCAGGTGCTTCTGAGATGCCTGACAAAGGCAGAGGGTGGGGACAGGGACAGTACAGTGAACCAGGCTGGCCACCCCAAGAACCTTCTAGAACAAGGTCACTCCACCAGTTTCCTTGCTCGTTAAGTCCTCTCCTCCCATGATGCCCACTTGCACAGGATCCCCCAGTCTCAAGTGCCCTGCAGGGCTGGCTCCCCCAGACTACCGCTGCTCCCTCTTCTCTGCCATAAGCCCCCACACAGCATCTCCTCTGAGGACTAGGGCTGGTCAGAATTGCCCTGAGTGACTCCACTCCTGGGAAATTCTGTGTCATCTCAAGAGACCCCTTTCTGCTCCCTCAGCCCCAGCACCCCACCTCTGAAATGAGAGAAATAGACCCACTGGGGTCCAGGTCCCTTTTGCCCTCAACACATCCCCAGTCCCAAGATGTGGAGGTGGCCTCGTGGCTCTGGTGTGACCATGGGGGTTATTGTTCACCCTGGGGCACCTGTCACAGGGAGTTCATTTGTGCAGCTGTAACTCCAGGAGGACACACTGGAGAGAGTCCCAGCTGCCCAGCCCTCCCCCAAGTCAGTCTGGCAGGTTTCTCAAGAAAGAGCCACACCAGGGCCACGAGCGGAGCACGCA